CTCCACAACGCCCCGCACTACGCCGCACCACACCGTACCACGTAGCACCGCGCATAGGATGTGGCGCCGCCGTGTGATGATTGGTTCCCGTAGCCATAGAAGAACTTAGTCAAATTGTAATGAATATGATTATTAGAGCTGGTTTGGCTCCCCATGTAAACTTTGAATCAGTCTGTAGGGGGCGCTAATGGGCCAATTTCAAATATTTCACTTTCACCTGACCTAAACCCTGGAGTTGAACAATGGATTCAAGTTTAATGCAAATCAGTCTTTGTTTGTGCAAACGGGGAAAAAATTTATGTTGTCAAAAACAGCCAAAAAAACCCTCACATTTTGCCGTTCCGCTTCTCAAACAACGTTTGACTGATTAAAATTCCCTGAAGTAATTATGAAGGTAAATGTGTTGAGATGATTTGGAACAATTTTGAGGCCAATCGGTGAAACGGCCGAGGAGGAGTCGCTTTCCAACCAACGTTTATGAAAATGATTGGTTTTCATGTTTCCATTTTGCAATGAAATTCATGGGCTTCCTGTTTGTCAGGGGGCTTAGCCATAATAACATTTTTCCCATGTCTTGACTTAAGGAACATGTGTTCCAAATTACATGGTTCTACGACAATTTTGACCTCAAACCCCTCCCATAGGCATTTTTAATATGGCTGTTGTAGGTGGCGCTATAGAGCCAATTTCAGAATTTTAACTTTCAAATGACCTAGACCCAAGAGTTGAACCATGGATTCAAGTTTTGTGCAAATCAGACTTTGTTTGTGCAAACGGAAGCAATTTTTCTATGGTCAAAAACTGAAAAAAAATACGCCACTTTTTGGCGCTCCGCTGCTCAAACAACGTTTCACTGATCAAAATTCCCTGAAGTCATTTTGATGGTACATGTGTTGAGATGATGTGGAGCGATTTTGAGGCGAATCGGTGAAACGGCCGAGGCTGGTTTGATGTTTGTGTGAGGTGTATATTTGCAATGAATGGGGAGCGTTTGTCGTCGCCACGGCAACAGGGTAAAAAATAAGCCTTGGACCCAATTGACTTTTTGAATCAAGAGGGCAAAACAGATGTATGTGCAAAATTTCAAACATTTTGAAAAAACTAAATTTGAAAATGCCCATTTAAAACTTTGAAATAGTCTGTAGGGGGCGCTAATGTGTCAATTTGAATCATTTAACTTTCAAATGACCTAGACCCTAGAGTTGAACAATGTATTAAAGTTTTGTGAAAATCAGACTTTGTTTGTGCAAACGGGAGCAAATTTAATGTTGTCAAAAACGGCCAAAAAAAGGTCACATTTTGCCGCTCCGCTGCTCGAACAATGTTTCACTGATCAAAAATCCCCGAGGTCATTTTGAAGGTACATGTGTTGAGATGATGTGGAGCGATTTTGAGGCGAATCGGTGAAACGGCCGAGGAGGAGTCGCTTTCCAACCGACATGTATGAAAACTTTTGCTGTTCATTTTTCCATTTTGCAGTGACATTTATGGGCTTGCTGTTTGTCAGAGGGCGGAGCCATAATAATATTTTTTTCTTGTCTTGACTTGAGGAACATGTGTACCGAATTTCATGACTCTACAACAAACTTCATCTTCAGAACTCCCATAGGGGTATTATTTTGGCTGTTGTAGGTGGCGCTGTTCTGGCATTTTTTGAGTCCCATTAAAATAAACACCAAAATATCAAATTTTTCGCCAGGTCTGATTTTTGGGCAAAATTTAACAACTTTTCATGCATATTCAGGGGGTCAAATTAAGGCTCAAAGTGCAGAAGAAAAAAGAAAGAAAGAAAGAAAGAAATAAATAAATAAAAAAGGAATTTTTTTTTCGACGTCTCGAGCAAAAACAATATAGGTTTCAATGGCACGTGATACATCATTTTAAAGCTTTTGAGTTAACGCACGCAACCGTCACGTTTTGGTGAGTGACGGGCGCTGACGCGTCCGTCACGCACCGCCACCATTTGTTTTCACCATTGTGAAAGCAATAGGCCCTTACCCCGTTCGGGGCTCGGGCCTAAAAAGGAATTTTTTTTTTAACGTCTCGAGCAAAAACAATATAGGTTTCAATGGCATGTGATACATCATTTTAAAGCTTTTGAGTTTACGCACGCAACTGTCACATTTTGGTGAGTGACGGGCGCTGACGCGTCCGTCACGCACCGCCACCATTTGTTTTCACCATTGTGAAAGCAATAGGCCCTTACCCCGTTCGGGGCTCGGGCCTAATAAAAAAGGAATTTTTTTTTTAACGTCTCGAGCAAAAACAATATAGGTTTCAATGGCACGTGATACATCATTTTAAAGCTTTTGAGTTTACGCACGCAACCGTCACGTTTTAGCGAGTGACGGGCGCTGACGCGTCCGTCACGCACCGCCACCATTTGTTTTCACCATTGTGAAAGCAATAGGCCCTTACCCCGTTCGGGGCTCGGGCCTAATAAGAATTGACAAGAAATATATATTTGGAGTTCGGATAATTAGACATCATCTTCAGCTTTTGCTTTGGCCTTTTTTAAACCAATATCTGTGCGCTAAAAAAACCCAAATGATTTATCTTGAGGAACCAATTACAAGCCCCAATGTACTGTAAGCTATTTCAAAACTAGGACTCCTAGAATTCTGAAGCAAATTGAACCAGAGCCGTCGTTTTTACGGCTCCTAATTAAATCAAAAGAATTATGAAAGAAATCCCAACTACTTATATTACACTTAATTATCTTTATTATCTGCTGTTGCGAGTCTCTAAAGTACATTTGTGTGCGGTTTAAGGCTTGGGTACCTTTTTTCCTGCAATCTATATCTTACTAAAAAACATATTTTTCGCATACTTGAAAAAGCCTTGTGAGTCACTGAATCAGAGGGTGGTTCTCTCCTTTTCACTTTTCTAAAGATGTGACTACAGCACATTTCATGCACATAAATACAAATGTCAAAAGTAGCAATGAACTCAAAGTGCGAAGACACATTTGTGTCTTCCTTCATAAGGATGTTATAGAAATCTACTTAGCTGCACTAACTGACTTTGTGAAATTTTCGAATGTGAACGCTGGCCTCGCTCTTTCTGCTCGCCCTGCCCCCCCGCCCCCGGAGCTCACGTCTCACAAGATGGATCGCACATTTGGAAGTGGATGGCGTGACCATAGAATGATAGAACCGGGAAGCGTGGAGGAACGAGACTTTCTTTTGGATGGCTGTTTCGATGTGTAAGCAGTAACCGGCAACGAAGACATGGCCAGTTTCAGGTTAGCCTCCGCCGCTTGTTTACCTCCGCTGTCTGTGCTAACGAGAGACATGTGACTTTTCTCAAGAAAGCAGGGGCCAGTGGTCCGCTGTGATTGGTCACAATCTGGTCCCGAAACAAATTATCTTCCTTGTTTCATGAAAACTCGAACTAAAATAAAATAACACGCCAGCACAAATCTGCACTACTTTTTCTTCAAAAGGACGTACTGTATATCCCAATGCACTGCATGGATATGGATTGAATTTTTGTAATGAATACAAAAATAAAGTGAGGTAATGCAGCTTTAACTATTAACAGAGTAAATAAAAAATGGAGTATGCGCTAATTATCTGTTTTTCTGTCCAGACATTGAGCAAAATAAATTAGTTTGATATCTATGTCCAGGTCACAATTCATTATTTTATTAGGCCAGAGTGACACTCGTGTAGTGACTCCCTCTTGTGTCACCACACGAGGAGCTGCAAACAGCGACTGCAGGACAGTCAAATGCAGGATAACTTTTGGACTTGGACAGAGTGCTTTCAGTGTAAAAGGCCCTCAGCTCTCAAACAGTTTACTTGTCGAACTGAAATCAATCACTAATTTAAACCAGTTCAGCTGCAAACTGTACTTTCAATGCCTATGTGAATATTGTTTAGTTGTTGTTAGGTGTTAGGGACCAGATCTGCAAATTCGCCTTTGGCTAGACGGCCTATGGACATGGCATCGGTGGTGAAGAGTGGTGAAAAATAAGTACAGAAAAGCACAACTTCAAAAAATTAATCTTAATTTGAGTACATTCTGACTGCCTTGAAATAAAGCCCCCACTGAAAGATCAAGGCTATGCTCACACTCAGAGAGCAGCCGTCCTCCTGTGGACTCACCACCTGCAGAGGGTCAGTGAGGGGCTGGTGCTATGAGACTTGGGTGGCATCTCTGACTGCCACCCCCCTGACCCAGAAATGGATTAAAGGGTAGAAAATGGATGGATGGATGGACAAACTAAATTATCTTGTTTGAAAAGGATACAAGAAATGTCTTCTTTGTAATGTGAAAAAAATACATCCATCCATCCATCCATCCATTTTCTTCCCTTTAATCCATTTCTGGGTCAGGGGGGTGGCAGTCAGAGATGCCACCCAAGTCTCATAGCACCAGCCCCTCACTGACCCTCTGCAGGTGGTGAGTCCACAGGAGGACGGCTGCTCTCTGAGTGTGAGCATAGCCTTGATCTTTCAGTGGGGGCTTTGGGCAAAGTGGGGTTAAGTGTCTTGCCCAAGGACACAACGACAGCAGTCATCAGCGGGAGTCGGTGGAGAAGGTGTAGAGGTGGTAATTGAACCCACGACCTTCAGGCCTTAAGGCCAATGCTCTACCAACTGAGCTACTGTCGCCCCGAAAAAAATACAGTCATTAATTAAGACTAAATCAGAATCAGAATCAGAATCAGAATCATTTTTATTGCCAACGTAAGTAACGGGAGGTCACAGACTTGGAAATTGCTTTGGCTCAGTGCAACAGTCAAAAAGAGATAATAAAAATAAGAATAAAAAACACTTCTAAAGAATAAATTTAAATTTAAAATAGAGTTACAGTTACTATTTACAATATACAAGTGCACATGGTGCACACAATGTAAGGTGACAGCAGTACAGTGAAGTAAAGTGACGTATGATGGGCAGTAAAGTGACTTTATAAAGGGCGGGGGGACAGGTTAAGAAGTGTTCAAGAGTCCAACAGCAGAGGGGAAGAAACTGTTCTTGTGGCGGGAGGTTCTAGTCCTGATGGACCGCAGCCTCCTGCCTGAGGGGAGTGGTTGGAATAGTCCATGTGCAGGGTGAGAGGGGTCGGCTGTGATACGACCAGCCCGGCCTCGAGCTCGGGCGACGTACAGGTCCTGCAGCGATGGAAGGCTGCGGCCGATCACTTCCTCTGCAGAGCGCACAATGCGCTGTAGTCTCTGTTTGTCCCTGACTGTGGCTCCAGCGAACCACACGGTGATGGAGGAGGTGAGGATGGACTCGATGATGGCCGTGTAGAACTGCACCAACATCTGTGCAGGCAGCTTGGCTTTCCTGAGCTGCCGCAGGAAGTACATCCTCTGCTGGGCCTTCTTGATGAGGGAGCTGATGGTCGGCTCCCACTTGAGGTCCTGGGTGATGGTGGTGCCCAGGAAACGGAAGGACTCCACAGAGGTGATGGGGGAGTCCATCACGGAGGGTGGGGGCGGGGGGACAGTGCTCTTCCTGAAGTCCACAATCATCTCCACTGTCTTCTGGGCGTTCAGCTCCAGGTTGTTACCACTGCACCAGGACACCAGCCGGTCCACCTCCCTCCTGTAGGCGGACTCATCGTTGTTGGAGATGAGTCCAATGAGGGTGGTGTCGTCCGCGAACTTGATCAGCTTCACGGAGTCGTGGCTGGAGGTGCAGTGGTTGGTGTACAGGGAGAAGAGCAGGGGAGAAAGAACACAGCCCTGTGGGGCTCCTGTATTTATAATCCGAGAGTCCGAGACATTCTTCCCCAGACGCACTCGCTGCTTCCTGTCCGTCAGGAAGTCAGTGATCCACCTGCAGGTGGAATCGGGCACGTTGAGCTGGGAGAGCTTGTCCTGGAGCAGGGATGGCAGGATTGTGTTGAAGGCAGAGCTGAAGTCCACGAACAGGACCCTGGCGTAGGTCCCCGGGGAATGACTCATTGGAAAATATTGTTTTAAGACCATCAAAATCAAATTAATCATATTTTATCTCTTTTTGCTGTGTATCAGAGTAAGAAAGCGTAGAGAGAAACCTTCAGCGACACATCTCTCAGAACTCCATTTGGTTGGAACCAGGAGTCGATAGACCTTTGTTTACTCTTGTCTATTAATGCTGAAAGTTCTGGTCCTTCTGGGCAGACCTACTGACGCTTGTATTTCTTGAAAATGCACACTTACTGAAATGAATAAACCACACTAAGATTGTATTATAGCTCTTGGTTGTTCATTATCATCTTTTTCATTATTATTATTATTATATTTATGCTCTTGCTTTGTGCACAATTTCCGAAACAATGAGAATGAAGAGGAGACATGTCCCCGTATTTATAAAGTGACAATGTTGCCTGAGAGAAAATTAAGTAGTACCTGCTAGCGCTTAGCTTTTGCCTCCTCACAAGTATAGACTTCAGCCCTGGTGTAGCCTTTATCCGCTGAGTCTCAGCCGTCACTGAGGCCTTGGAAGTGGATGGCTGTTCCTCTGGCTGCAGCATCGCTTCAAAACAGGGAAGAGACGATACATCGTGCATCAGCCCTGCAGAGTTTGTCACGCTGCCAAAGAGAGAAATTGTTAGTGAACAGCTCTAAACAGGAGTTAAATTGGACTGAAATAAGTTTAAAACTGGTCCAGGACTCACTACTTGGTGCTGAAGGTGCTCAGGTGACTCATGGAAACAAAGGGATGTCCCAACACCTCCTCCGGTGTGATCCTTGTTTGTGGATCCAGGCCGAACATCCTCTGAGTCAGATCCACAAAGTGCTCCCAGTCCACCTTTTGCTCATTCGAAGGGGAATGATAATGATGGCCCAACTGGAAATAATAAATTATATAAATTAGTATAAATAGTATTTCAAATGTGCAACACAATCTTTTTTAAACCTGACTGAAATGCACACAATCCTGGTGTCTACACAAAATAATAATGAGAAAAGTTCATGCACTTAAAAAACTTACGCAGCTCAAACTCTTCAGGTTCTTTATGGGCCGCTTTGTGTGATTGGAGTCCTTTGTCTAAAGAAAAGAGAAGGGGAATAAGTAACTTAAACATGATATAGAATATAATAAAGGAACATTGTATTAAACTTATTTAGATAGTTTAGTCTTATTTAATTATTTAACGTGTGCACATTTCTTTTGCAAAATTAAAATGAATGGGAACAATACAGAGCCAGCACAAGACGTGCAGCCTGTAAGGACCTGAGTGTCCTTCTCCATTGAAAAGTCAAAGACAGCGCTGGGCACTGGGCTGGGTGCGAGTCTGTGTCATCCTTTCATCTAAGTGTCATTACGCTACAGCTTATGTGCAATTTAAGCAAGCCAAATTAAAAACTAAATTATTATTATTACTTATTAAGTAAGTAATCTTTATTTATACAGAGCCTTTCACAGACTAGAGTCACAAAGCTCTTTACAAATGTGGTCGTTTGTGTTTCACTCCACACAGAGATGGGAGTGAGGTCGCCAGTACAGGTGGCGCATGTGGGCTAGTGTACATGTACACATACACATGCACAACTATGTGAGATAATAATTAGGAGGGAAAATATATTGTGTCTTTTATATTGTAATCTACATACAACATATACTAATTAGATTTTACTACAAGGTATTATATATTTCTTACAGTACCTTGAGGGTCCAGACTTTCTTGCCATTGACTAAATTCTGGTGGTAGAAAGTATTCGTCCGAACTCCCTTTTTCAGGACTGAGTTCGGAATGCTCCCCACTGCTTTCTCGATGTGACTCATCTAAAAGCACAAATAGGTTTAGAAACAAGAAGAAACTATTGCAGGTGTCCATTAGAATCTCATAAAGTGATGTAACGAATACCAGGTGAATGTTGTCGTCGACAGGGAACAGCCATCTTCCAGTGAGCATCTCTATCACTGTGCAGCCGAAGGACCATATGTCAATGGCCTCATTGAAGTGTGCTCCCAGCACCACCTCAGGAGCCCTTAGACACAAAAGAACATATTTCATATGAAGAAACATTTGTAAACAAGTCAAAGCTCAACAAGCTGTCTCCATCTTAATAAAAGGCAATATAAATATGAAATAATAAATATTTGGATGAGACTGTTTACTTCATTTCCTGTTTTAGAACGATGAAATAAGTATGAATAAGTATAAAGTCTTAAACTTAAAAAAATAAAATAAGTATGTGTAAACTACTGTATATTCTAGTGCAAGTCCTATATAGTTATAGTATGTATACACCTGTACATGTTAACTTGGTTAAAAGCTTAAAAGCTTAAAGTCCATTTTACATATTAAGCCCTCATTGACTTATTCAAACTTAAGTTTAGTTTAGTTTATGTTTTCAGACGAGCAGGTTCCAGGTCACAGCAAAAGCGCTTGTTTCCACTTGGTATTTATAAACTTTAGATCATTAGAGATTAGAGAGTATGAATCCTTACAAGTAATACAGAGTTCCCAAAAAGTCTCCTTTCGTCACCGCCGCAGACCAATGCGCGGATCCAAAGTCAATCATTTTGACTTTTGGACCCTTCGCATGATTCACAAACACGATGTTCTCCGGCTTCACGTCACCATGAATCAGACCCAGACCCTTCAGGAATTTCATCGCTGTGGCCATCTGCAGAAGAAATCACATGTTAGAATCAAATTAAGATAGTGGTCTACAACTGTTTTGTCATGGAGTAGATTATGCTACTAAACACTTGAAACTCAGAAAATTGTTTAAAATAGGTCTGATGATTATGGCTTACAGTCCATTTCAAAATAATGTAAATGGCTCACTCCACACTAAACTGTACCAATGTGTTTCTTTAACAAGAAAAAAAGTTTAAGATGACAAGGACTGTGAGACAGTCCTTGTCACTTTGAAGCAACTTTTGTTAAGGTTAAACTCATCATTCTACCAATGTGCAGAAGCCTGTACTTTTCCACTACTTGTTTTGACTATCTCTGCTGGCACTGTGGCAGCTGCTGAATGGAGGACTCTGTTTCTCCTGAGTATATTATCACTTTGCTGTCAAACATTGGTTGTTCGTGTTGTTCGTGCTGTCTCTACCATTGACAATAAAACATGTCTTCTGTCTGAATTAAAGACACGATCCCAGACTTTGTCATCTTCTTCAGGACCACTAAAATCCACACAAAATCCGATCTTTATGAAGTCTCATAGCACCAGCTATGAGACTTGAGTGGCTTGAGTGACTTGAATACATTGAGTTCTATGGTATATTTTTCTGGGTAGCCAACGTGAATTTAGTCTGCAGTTCCATGGGCACAGGGACAGCTATAAGATAGTCAGAATCAGAATAAGAATGATTTTTATTGCCACGTAAGTAACAGGAAGTCACAGACTTGGAAATTGCTTTGGCTCGGTGCATCAGTCAGAAAAGAGAGATAAAGAATAGAGAATAGAGTAAGGCATAACAAAAATCAGCATACACTTCGAAGGAATGAAATTAAAATAGAATTATTACAATTACTATGTACAATATGCAGTAGGCAGTGCAATAAGGAGACAAGCAGTAAAGTGACGTTATGATGGGCATTAAAGTGACTTAATAAGGGACAGTAAGGTGACTTCATAAGGGGCAGGGGGACAGGTTATCAAGTGTTCTGTTGTGATCTGTTGCAACTCGATTTTAACTCCATACAAAACTGGCTCTCAAACAGTAAATTAATTTTAAACATGAAAAAATCTTGCTGTATATCTCTCTCTCGCTCTTATCACAAATTACTCCACTCCCCTGATCTCCATATTCACTTTAAAGAAGCTATACCCAATTTTTTTTCTAAGTAGTTCATAAAAATGCTTTTTACTACATACAAGTTGTATCATAATACATAATTTAATTGAAAACTTGAGGTAATTGATTCAGCTGTGTATGAAATTTATGCCGTGAAAAGTGCTGAGTAGAGTCTGAGCGGGCCGCTCGTTCTCCTCCACTCACAGAACGAGCAGCGAACAGCCTGCGTCCTCTAGCCTCTACAGCCTGCGTCCTCTAGCCTCTACAGCCTGCGTCCTCTAGCCTCTACAGCCTGCGTCCTCTAGTCTCTACAGCCTGCGTCCTCTAGCCTCTACAGCCTGCGTCCTCTAGCCTCTACAGCCTGCGTCCTCTAGTCTCTACAGCCTGCGTCCTCTAGCCTCTACAGCCTGCGTCCTCTAGCCTCTACAGCCTGCGTCCTCTAGCCTCTACAGCCTGCGTCCTCTAGTCTCTACAGCCTGCGTCCTCTAGCCTCTACAGCCTGCGTCCTCTAGTCTCTACAGCCTGCGTCCTCTAGTCTCTACAGCCTGCGTCCTCTAGCCTCTACAGCCTGCGTCCTCTAGCCTCTACAGCCTGTGTCCTCTAGCCTCTACAGCCTGCGTCCTCTAGTCTCTACAGCCTGCGTCCTCTAGCCTCTGCAGCGCTGCTTAACACCAGGGCTTCGACTTCAAAATTCGAATATAATTCTAAAATTAAAAAAATATATATTCGAACAAATATTAGACAGCCCTTATAATTTGAAATGTATTTAATGACTGCAAATAAAATAGTTAGCTCCCAAAAGTTTCACCAGGACGTGCTAGGCTGGTAACAGCTAAGCTAGCTAGCTGTTTCATGGTCACTTCCGGGTTTTTCGCGATCGCTTTTTGTCACTTTAAAACAGTATTTTTGTCATGAAAACGTTGACAGCAAATTCTGAAATTGTCCGTGCATGTGTGTTAAGGATGTATATGTATACTGTATTGTCTGATTAACGTTTAATGGTGTTGATTGATTGATATGTATTTGTTTATTGAGTGTGGCTAGCTCCGCTAGCTTCTCTACACAGACAAGTGTGCAGAGAAACTGCACAATGTAGTGACAGGCGCTGATAGCTTGTACTTGAAAAGTAATGGCAGTATTTTACACAACTGAATTACAAACAGAGATTGCATTGTCAAAGGGCAGAGGTCATTATTGATTTGAGAGTTCTGTTATCAAGAAAAAATGATCGGAAGAATTACATTCACGTCAATGGAGTGTTCTACTGCTGTGAGGAGCTGTATAATAAATTATAATTAAATATTAGAATATATTCTAATGTTTAAATGAATACATTCGGACACGAAACTAGCGGTATTCTTTTACTTATATATTGTGTTAGCAGTGCATTGCTTCTGTACCATTTCATCAGTGATTGTTGTACAGCTTACAAGAAGTTGTGCTAATGCTAATGTTAGCATACATATCAAATCGCAAATAAAACTAGGTGGCTCCGTGGGATGAGAGCGTAGGGGAAATGAGAAGCCATTGAGCGAGTTGGGGGGCGGTGCTAAACATTCAACATTGCAGAAACGGGTATAGCGCCTTTAACAACGGTTCCAAAATGCACAATGCAGACACAATCAAATATCTCGGCCTCTGGTTAGACCCAGAACTTAACTTCAAACACCACATCAACTCCATCATCAAAAGAACTTACGCCACAATGGGCCCATTATTTCCATTATCTCACTGCTTTACCCTCAATGTCAGAAAACGCATAATTACACAACTGCTTCTCCCCATCATCGATTACGCCGACGTCATTTATCAGAACACATTTCCCTCCCATCTCAAACCTCTCAATACACTTTTTAACTGTCTCTGTAGATTCTCAAATGTCCATATCACACACATCACTGCACTCTGTACGAGAACCTTCACTGGCTTCAACCTCACAACAAACGTCACCTTCATTGGATGCACTAATTATTTAAATTCATTAATTTTAGTTGTCCACAATATTTAAAACATTTTTTTGTCCCCGTCTCTACACCTTTCTCTCTCCGAAGCTCTGATTGTCTCACTTTTTCTGTTCCAAGAGTTTTTAAAGAAGTCGGTCGCAGATCATTTCAATACAAGGCTCCATCAGACTGGAATAAACTCCCCACATCCATACGATCCATTCTGTCTTCTGGTTTATTTAAGTTTGAATTATTTAGGTTCCTTCAAACTCCTTGTTTATGTCACTAATGTTCTGTGTTCTGTGTCATTATTGTCATTTTACTTTGTTTTTTTTTAAATGTTTAATTTCAGCAGAGGGGAGGAGTGGGGTGCAAAGGAGTATTTGTTTTATTTAATTTTTGTTCTTGTTTTGTTTTTGTTTTTGTGTGTGTTTAATTAGCTTTTCTCATCTTTAATTTGCTGTAAATTGTGTTTGTGTATGCGTATTTGTTTATATGTTTGTATTTATGTTTAGGACCCCCTTGAAAATGAGATAATTCCTCTCAAGGGGTTTTCCTTAATAAACTTAATATCAGTGTTCAAGAGTCCAACAACAGAGGGGAAGAAACTGTTCTCATGGCGGGAGGTTTTGGTCCTGATGGACCGTAGCCTCCTGCCCAAGGGGAGTGGTTGGAATAGTCCATGTGCAGGGTGAGAGGGGTCGGCTGTGATACGACCATGGATCTATAATAATAACTGGATAGGGTATCACTAGCTTACAGCTGTCCCACCCATGGGCACAGGGGGCGCCCGTGGAACTGCAGACTAAATTCACGAGGGCTACCCCGAAAAAAGTCCCATAGAACTCAATGTAAATTACTGTAAAACAGCTCAACCTCAGCTGACAGAGAACCTACAGCTTTCATAAAGATCGGATTTTGTGGGGATTTTAGTGTCCCTTATCCTGAACTTTTTTTCTCCTTAAATCCTTCGATTTTCTTTAAATCCACACTTTACTGCCACAAACTCTGCTCCCTGCCTTCCCGCTCTGGCTCCGCTCTTCTGCTGCTCTGATGAACAGCTCTGATTGGTCAGAGCGCGGCCGAGCCCCTCTGTGCACGTGCATGAAAGCCACACATGCACGTTTGGCGCGACGCATCATGGGAGATAATCCACTGCGCAGAACCGGGAGGACCAGACGATGCCCAAATATAGGCTCATATATATATATATATATATATATATATATATATATATAATATAGTTCAGCTAATCTCCTGGTCTCCATGAAGTCCCATGCGCTACTGAGCACAAGCCATTCATTTGAACCGTACTATTAACAGCGCTCCAAGAAAGTCGTTATTGAAAATTATTTTTTTGCATAATGTATAAGGCTGTCAAAATGATCACGTTAACACACGTTAATAAAAAAAATCTATAATCTATAATTACGTTATAATTATTAATTATAGTTATATCCCCAACCATTAGCCATTAAATAGTCTTCTCTGTCCTGTTGATTCTTCCATTCACAAAGCCTCCAACATGACATGTCCTAAATGGAACAATTATGTCCCCAAAGTTCAATAAAAGTTTTTTGAAAGGCATTCATTTTTCTTGTACTGGTTTTAGCTGCCCATCGGAGATTACACTATGTTTAAGCTACATAGTATCAAAAAACGTGTAGGTACAAACAATTTTGGTTTGTACATTTATTTTATTGTCGCTTGAAGTTAGACCCATGGTACAGTTTAGCCTGGAGTGAGCCAAAACATTTCTGAGATGTTTTATTTGGAAAAAAAAACAAATGAAAAACTTGATATATCTCAGTTGGTCTGTTTAAAGTGTTAGAGATTAACATAAATTGACTTTTAAACAGTATTCCAAGATTAACCTGTGTTGCTATTGTGTGTCAGTGTCCTGAAGTCCTGTATTATAATATTATTGTTGATGACAATATATCCCTGAGTAGAAAAGTGCTTTTAAAAGACTACTAACCTGAATAATCACAGGGCGGATGTCCATCAGATTCATCTTCCCATTGCACTGGAGGAAGTGGAACAAGGAAAGGTTCAACAGCTCAAACTCCAGGATCATGCTTCTATTGGCGACGAAAGTGCTGAACCATCGCACAATGTGATGCTGGTCTGCCTCGTGCTCCCTAAGCACCTGCATCACTTCAGTCTGACAGAAAAAACAAACAGTCAAGTGTTCATACTTATAATAATTTAGTAGACTACATCTCAAACTCTTATTTAAGGCAACTTTGAAACAATAAACTAGACACAAACTAAGCAGAAATACATAGAACAAAAGGGGTTGGACAAAGCTTTTCTCACAACACGCACACACACTCATATATATATGCAGGGTTCGTATAGATCCTTGAAAGTCGGGGAAAGTCATATTTTTCAAAAACGTCTTTGGAATGAATGCTTGAAAATGCTTCTCAGACTTTGCAGTTTTTTAATAGAAAATCCCTGCTGGCTCAATTAAACACTGTCTGCAGCCAAACCCCAACATATATCAATGTCGTGACACGTTAGTGTGCCTATGACAGGGATCTCCAACCTGTAGCTCGGGCACCGCCCTCTTCCAGGTAGCTTGCCAAAGAATTGAGAAATGATCACATCAAATAATATACTTAATATTTCAGATTGTATTATTCATATCATTATTTGTTATTGTAATGTGCACTAAGACAATTCACAAAGACATTATAAACAATTGTCCACTCGCCATAACACACTTTGATTTTATGACTTAAGATCCTCGTTTAGCTTCAGGATGGACTGATGGACAAAGGACAATGTAACCACATTTTTCCCAGGGTTTGCTTAAAGAAGTAGCTCTCTACCATTATCGTCCTGAGAAAGTAGCTCACTCACAGGTTGGAGACACCTGGCCTCACCTATTTTGGTAAATATAATGTGAAATATAAACTAATTAGAATATTAGAAATACTTCTTTGAACTTTGCAAATGTTCTATATAACACACTTTGATGAGAATTACGTTGTTTTGTTAATAAAGGCTGCAGAGTTACATGATTGTATCAGTTTCAGTTGGTGGTTTGCCATGTGACTGTTTTAAATGAAAAAGTCGTGCTACGTTTCATAAAGGTTGGCGAACACTGTCACAGAGACACAGACTTATTTTGACAATTGACCTTTTAATACGTGAATGGCTGTCAATGAGTTAAAACACGTATGTCTACGATTGATTATATTTTTTAAAGCGTTGTTTCCTTGAAAAAGTTCTCATTTTACCTTGAAAGTGCTTGAATTTTACACTTCATAAGCTGTACGAACCCTGTATATCAGCCATTCCCAAACTCAGTAACACCGAGGCCCCCTTAAAAATCTGACGGGTCTGCGTGGCCCCCCAAAATAATAACCAAGAAGACAACATTAAGAATAGGCTCTTCTGGTTATTTTATTTTGGGGAAATAGCCTCTGATACAAACATTGTAATACAAAAATGATTACAGTGGATTATTCAAGTCAAATAATGAACACAAATATTTTAATATTACAAACAAAACATTATAAATTTAACATTAAATAATTATATTATTTTTTTTATATTTTTTTTTGACCTCCCGCGGCCCCCCTGCAGTACCCTCGCGGCCCACCAGGGGGCCGCGGACCCCACTTTGGGAGACACTGCTGTATATGATTAGCATACAAACACATGACCGAAAATAAATGTGTGAAAATAATGATAGACTCAAACTGTATCAGATAGAGTTCACAATATTATACACAACAGCTAGCTAACTGAACCGCTAAAACCGCTAACGCTAACATTAGCATTCAGAGCGAACCAGTGAAGAAAAATACAGATATAATTTTGTCTTCAAAGAGAGAGTAATGTCAGCTAAATAATCCCTTACCTCGTCCATAGCTGCTCTGTAGTTGTCGGGGTCTTTAATCAGCTTTAAGGCCGCGTATTTGCTGGTCGTCCATCTTTGGGTCGCGCAGCTGTACACGGCTCCGAACCCGCCTTCACCCATTATGTGCTGCACCAGATAGGAGTCATTCGGGCCCTCCAGGACCTGGCCTACCTCCAGTAAACTCATTTTCACATATCGGTTCTTTTTGTTGCAACGCGGAGAAAGAAAAAACACGTCTGAACCCAGCGAAGGCCTGAGATGAACTGAGCCCATGCATGGATAACGGTGGCCATGACAACCAAAGAACGTGGAACTTCCAAAAGATTCTGTCAGGGTTCTATTGTATGATGTCATTTAATATGACGTAATGTTGTCTCATAAACACATTATGTAGGTTTGTTTTATATTTATATTTATGCCCTGTGATGTCTGAGACGCCGCAGTGTGTTTAAATAATAAAATAGCAGTTTAATTCACGTAAACACCTGCTTTTGTATTATTTTAATGCCAGTAGCCTCGCCAATCGCAAGGCTTCCCTAGCAACTGTTGCCAAGGCTTAAATGAAAACACACGGACACAGGAGAGTACAGCAAAGTTTTCAAATTTTACAAAATAATTAGCTTTAAACATGTTTCGCTAATTAATTCAACATCTTGCTGTATAGCAGACACAGCAGGGTAGTTACATGTATGGGCCAGAATGGTACCGTATGTTACAGTTATTGGCATGGATGGATCTGAGTTGGAAGAAGGAAAGTTAGTAATATTTATCAATATAGCGCATTTTACAGAGCAAGGTCAGCCAAAGCGCTTTAAAGGTTGGACATGATTCAAATCTGTAAAATTAAAAGTATTAAAGCAAAGTGCTGAGACCCCACTTAATTACATTATCATCAAATAGTTGTGTTTCTTGCAACTAATATTGACATGTTGTTTCATAAACACACTCTTTTGTCTAAAATACTTATGCAAAGCCCTGAAAGTCATTCATATATTATTGTTATTATTGTTATTGTTATTATTATATTCCCATATATCTCATATTAGGTACACATATTTTGTTCAAGAATGGCGTGTTTTGTAGTGTGTGTGTGTGTGTGTGTGTGTGTGTGTGCGTGCGTGCGGTTTTGAATTAACATTATTTTTTTCAGAATCAGCGTGAATGATATATTTACACCAGTTCACCTCTTTGTCTTCTCACTAATGCAACACAAAACATCATTGTGGAGTGACTTAACATGCAAAATGAGCTCTCCCTTCCACACTCCTCCAGGGGCTCGTCTTGAGTGTTTGCACAATGCGGGCCTGCAATCGGTAAACGCTCCCAGAGAAAAGATCAATTTGTGTTGAAGGATTCCCAGGAGCTGCAGCGGGCTGAGAGGACGGTGGTCTGAAGGAGGAGAGGAAGCCCAACACCAGGTCCCAGCGGAAAGTACACAAGCCGGGGCCGACCAGGGCTTTTCAATATGTGGAGATAGTTCAGTGCTTTGACCATATTTGTCAAATATAAATTATGTATTTCTTTGTTTTGTTTATGATGTGTTTCTGCTGCTCGACACCTGAATCTTTCCTACAGGGGATCAATACAGTTCCTACCTATACTGCCTATGCCTGCCTGTCTCTGTCTGTCTCTCTGTGAGTGTGTCCATGTCTCTGATGTGCAAATATTTTGATCAGGATCATTTAGCGCTATGATCTATGAAGAATCATTCTACAGGAGACTATTGTTCAAAACTTACTTTACTTACTTTATTTACCTTACAATGTGACGCTAAAAATTGAAATTGAAAATGGACTGTAAGCCAGAATCGTCAAAATTATAAAAACAAAAGCTTGGTTGGCAAATGTCACTGTGTTTGTAATGGTCCTATATTGATTTAATATTCTTAAATGATCAGTCAAACACAGACATACCAACAACCAAGAGAACGGGTGAGATTGTGTTTAGACTGCACCATTCATCCATTTGGGCCGGTGTGAAATGGGTGACTGTCACCCCGACCCAGAAATAGACAAAGAGGAAGCCGATGGATGGATGGGTGGACTGCAGCATTCAATGGGCCTCTGTATGAAACTTGCGTATACGGCCAAATCAGGGTGTAAATGATGCGTACGCAAAATATTTACACTTTTCCGCATTTATCAATAGCATTTATCAATAGCAAAAATATACGCCAGGTCTGGAGGTGGTATAAATGTGTACGCTCATTTCAACCTTAGTTACAACACGCCAAAACACGCATGAAATGCAAGATTTGGACAAAAATAAACATATTCCACTCTGACAAGATTATAGGCACACCTCTCACATTACAAATATGCAATTTTATGTTAGGGCTAGTTTGTGTTATTAAATAACGTGCAAGATGTCAAACTTAGTCTCCTACAAATGTGTGGATTGTTATGCACCTACAATCAGTGCGTAATGGCTTTGGTTCATGCGGATCCAAGCAAAGACGCGCGCCACCGTGGAGCGCTGCGCGGGTCTGATCAGGCTCTGGGACACGGGAGGTACGCTCTGGTACCTCCCGGTACAAGTGTGCCACATGGTCCTGGCTCGGTTCTCCACAACAGGGACAGGACCACAGTGTGCCACTGGTGGAGCAGCCCATGGATGAGAGACCATGGCCAGCACCGCCTTCGGCCTGCCCAGCTCAGACAGGCTCTCATTCAACCATTTTAAAATAATAATCACATAGATAATTTGAAGATAATTTTATTTCCTTTTCTTTTCTTTTGGATGCTTTGGTCTGGCGTTCCTCTCCCTGGGCTGCTGAGCACTTCTTCTATGGGCTGCGCTAAACGCCTTTTTGTTACATTTTAAGGTTGCTCCCTTTTTTTCACTTGTAGCATAAATTTATGAATTCTTACTATTGGCCCAATCAACTGTTTGATATAACATAGCGTATTTTTCTTCGAACATGAATAAACTCACCTCTTCAGAAGTGCTTGTTGCAGGCCCCACGCTGTTTACAGATGCTGTAATTTCTTTCCATATATTGTTTTTTGAGCCCCTTGATGCCACGTTTGAGAATTCCAAGTAGTAAGACTTTATTCTTTTTCCCACTTCGTTCATAATGGTCTCAATCTCCTGCTCCGTGAAGTTATTTTTCCTTAGCCGTTTACTCACTAACCAGACCCTGCGCCGTATACGTAATTACGTATATGTTTTGCCTCATCATCTCTGGCAAAGCAATGTGGGTTTTCCTTAGATTTGTGCATAAAGCCCCATAAACGCAATTGATCTTGCTCAAAACTGCCCTGTTCTCCGCATAGCAGAGATAGAATGCAACTATGGGAACTGGTTCATTCATTAGTAAGTAATCTTTATTTATATACCGCCTTTCACAGACCATAGTCACAAAGCGGTTTACAATTGTTAATAATTTTTGGGCACTTGTCCTCTCACTCCACACTCCACACTCCAGATGGGAGCGGGGTCGCCGAACAGGAGCCGCATGCCAGACCTGTTGTACATATTTTTAGTGGTAGAGGAAACCTACGCAGACACGGGGAGAACATGCAAACTCCACTCAGAAAGGGTGGATTCGAACCCAAGACCTTCTTGCTGAGAGGCGAGAGTGCTATCCACTCAGCCATCGTGCCGAATTTTAAACGTGAAAAATCTCAGAAGTGTGTGCTTTTTGAGGCTTCCGAACAGTGTCAGTCCCGTATTCGTCCCGGAAACCGGATTTGTCCGGAAGTTCAGTTTGATCCAATGAGCATACGCAGCAGTAGATTACGTCACGGAATCTGGCCGGAAGCGGAAGTAAATATAAAAAACTACCTATTCATGCCTAAACTTAACCAGCCATTCCCATAAAATAACCCCAACCCAGCCTTAACCCTAAACTTAACCATCTTACTCAGACACCTAAACTTAACCAGTCACCACTTAAGGACATATTAAACTTTTTGACATGCGCAAACTGAACTTCCGGACGAATCCGGTTTCCGGGACGAATACGGGAGTGACAAACAGTCTTCTTAGCCGACTTCCTGCTGACCTGTCGCAAAAACAGGGCGTGGAACAGGCAGTTTCTGAATATTTCTAGGCGTGACTTTCATAAATACGCTGGTTTCGAGCTCGGCATTTATCAACAGCCGCAGGTGCGTACGCTCAGATCTGTGCGTATCTCACACGTTCATAAATGCCACGTCGGATCTTGCGTAAATGGAATATACACCCAAAATATACACCCTTTTCTACGCAACTTTCATACATGAGGCCCACTGAGAGGAGAATATATTGTTCCTCAAATTGGCTGAAGTTCCTGTTTGTTGGGGACTTCTACTAAGTTGTAAATACAGTGTCACATATGCTTTTATTTGAGCCTGTTTTCTCTATTTCTGTTGTGTTGGGGAGAACTGTGTGAATCAATTTATCAATGGATCTTTTCACAACTTTTACATACAATGCACTGCCCCCTGGCGGTGCGCTGTGGTACCAAACGACTGTGTTATTTCTGAGTTTTATGCAGGATTTCATCAGCCTCGTTCCGATCGTTTTCTGCTGACACTTTGCATTTTGCACACTCCCCTTTTAGCTCTGGGTCTGTGATGTAATTTTGACTTGAGGATTGTCAGAGGAATTTCTCTTCAGTTTCATCTGGGGCCTCATGATCATATGAGAGCATTAATCGGTCATCAGTACTGAGCCATTATATAACCCTGAGTTTAGACTAGTTTTTACAGTTGTGTGTTTAAATGGCTATAGTTATTTAGCCAATGTAGATGCCCCAAGTGGACTTTCAATTCCATTCAATGTATGTATGTAGTTGCAATGATAGAAAACATTGGTAGAGCCATTGGTCCATAAGGGGCAGATGTCCATGAGTGTTAATAAATGTCCGTAAATAGTCCTAGTGTCCTCGTTTATGCCCCACATGCATGTTTGTACACAAAAAAGGAAGGATGGTGAATAGAAGAATGAAATAGTTGTTGTTATTTATTGAATAAAGAACGATCTTATCAACTATGCATGAATGAAAAAACAAAATAGTTGCCACTGATCAATATAATCAAATGAGGTAATAATGGCCTGAATCGAGTAGTTTTTAACAGAATTTTAGTTCATTTTGACTGTGACTTAATTCAAAGAGCTGTTTTATTTTCTCATTCCAAGGGAGACATTTATTGTATCTTTTTAAAACAAGCTAATTTTGCTCTTGTTCCATTGGCAAATCT